CGAGTAGGCGTGCGATTGACGTTTAATTATTCGTTGCGCATTCAGACGCTTCGTTTCCTTTATAACACGAACGCGTCCGCGTTCTCGTCGTTTCTCCGTCATGACACGATAATATGGCAAGGGTTACCGGAGAAATTTATATTTTCACAATCATAACGAAAGTAAATTAACGAACGTAAAAAGAGATGATCGGCATTTCGACAACGAAAATTACTAGTAGAACGTTCTTAATAGCTTTGATAGCTTTCCGATTAAATACAATTATCATATCAAATTATTAATAGATTTAGGGAAACTATAGTACAAAGACTTTTTTTTGATTAATCATATATGTTTAGTTATATAAATATAAACCGAGATCAAGTTAAGAGATATTGCAACGATCATTTGAAATGGTTCGCGGTTCGCCTTCTATTATTTACGTATTCGTCAGCCTCGCGAATTTCGTTATACAATTACCGCAGGCACTGTAATCAAATATTAATATGTACGCCAATTTAGAACAATTAATGCATTTATTTAATAGTACGAAATTCCCGATCATGACGACTGCACCGTAGCGAATTTACAAGCGGTCCAGTGATTCCAGTTCCGTCGTCCAGCTCGTTCAATATCGCGAAACTGCGAGTTATAATTACACGTGTGTTTGCTTGTCCGTATTACCAGCTTAAAATAAGTATATAAGCGATTTTTTAAATTTCATTTTATGATAAGCGGATTTAAATTCAAGACAATATATTGAATCATTCGTGAATCAAGCGATCCAATATTGCCTAGTAAACATTTACTAGGAATGGAATCATTAATTAATTTCCATCAAACAACTGTTTCATAGTTTCTATCTCGCATATTGTGTATCATTATGTAAATATCATTTATACGAAATCATTTATGAATAAATAATAAATAAATTTATTCCAAATGTCTATTTTGTTTTGATTTGATAGTAGATAGCTGTAATATTAATTCAAGACCAATATAATTATTTATTACGTAAAATAAAAAATTAGAAATAGCAAAAAATTTCCTTAGATAATTTTTTAATCTTTGAATCATTATTTGTTAATAATGTAGTATACAAAAGATTTTTCAAAACATTTCTGAAATTTTTAAATTTTAAGTTTTTTTTATCTATTTTAATAATTGCACAGATAACTATTCGTTAAATTATAATAATATTGCTAATCATGATTATATTTGTAAAAACATAGGTTTTGTTGTTTGCCAATTTATAATTTGACAAATGCATGTTTCTCTACCGTTTATGCATCATTTCGTCCTTATCCGTGGAACAACACCTACTAATCACAGCATTATCAGCAACTAATCTGTTGTAATCACACAGAAAGCGCAATAACGATGGTACCACTTCGCGATTCGTCCAATTCGAAGGGAAAGCCATTAAGCGTGATGATACGTAATATACGGACGTAAACTGGATGCAATTGTAATATCAGGCCGCAATTCCGCAATGACAGCTTTTCCACGAATGATGACAAGGCAATATCGCGAAGGATAAACATATAATATCCGTACTTGTGCGATCGTTGTATCTATATTAAAATATATAGAAACAAGTCTGGATAAAAGGGGGTAAAATCGCTCGCTTTTTATTTATCAAATTTAATTATCGAATTAATTGAAATTAAATATTATATTATTACATTTGATTTTATTATATCTGAGATTTATAATTAATATACATAGAAAAAAAAAAAAAAGAAAAACGACGTTAAACATTTATAAAAGTTATATATGTACCTTTATTTCAATTAAATCAAAGTGAAAATCGAATCAATATTATAAAAACTGTGTGTGGAAGAGTGAGACGTGCATATCTCCGCCGCAAAAGCCGTCCGCAAAAATCGTTTCAATCCCTTTAATCGCCGCGGCGGAACTCGACAAACAGACATTCAACGAAAAAACCGCGAATATGAAGAGCCGTAGGTTCGAACGTTTCCATAAATAGTGTCGGCCTAGCGCGCGCGAAAGACCTGTCGCCGAGAATTCGAATTGCAGTCGCCGACATTTGCACACATCTATCCATAGATAATAGCTTTTCGTGCGAATCACCACGAACACCATGGACGCAGCTGTGCTCGCAGCCCGAAGGTGCGCCGATATTCGCTGCGATCGATCGGCTCTCTCTCTCTCTCTCTCTCTCTCTCTCTCTCTCTGCCGCGGCCGGCTCAATAGAGACGCGTTAACGCAAACGGACATGTCTCGTGTATTTTGCAAGTCCGTTTGTAAACCGCTCGGCTACGCCGCATATCCGGATACGTATGTGTCGATCAATCTCCCGTTGTCTTGGTTCCTGACAACGCTGACGCACATCTCCATGTCTGGTATGCTTCATAAAAATGAATTGGCGCGACGTAAAACAAAAGGTTCTACATAAAACATTAAGTAATGCCGCAGTGCTAATCGAGCGAGTAATTTCTGACTCAATTAACAATCTTAAGTTTCGAGGGTGTAAATATAAATAGCAGAAGTTTCTATTTTTTTTTTTTTTTTTTTTTAGTAGTTTGTGCAAACTCTCTATTTTGATAGATTTAACGGCATTTTTCATATAAAATTGAAAGAAAAAATTTATAAATTTTATATAGATCTGCGTTTTTTTTTATTAATCTTGCATGGAAGATTGCAAGAAGATATTTTTATTGGTAACAATCGATGTGACAAACAATTTCGCAGATGTCTCTTGTGCGTCAACTAAAATATTTTTATGAAACGTAGTAACGAATAATGCACCGTGAGAAATAACAATGTCTAAAATTAACGATCAACAGGTTGATTATGGATGCGACAGGAATCTGTTTTGATTTAATCACGAATAGGGACGTTTGCTGTGGCAATTTTGGCGGATATTATCAGGACTGTTTGATCGGAATATAACAAGCATGTGAAATAATAGGACATGCACTATTATGATGATATACTAGACCAGGACTTGATATATATAAATTACTGAATTTCTTAAATTTCGATACTATCGCAGAAGAATATTAATATTTAAGTTTTTTCTTATTTAAATTGATGCAACGAAAAAGATCACTCTATAGTCTATAAAAGTAATAAATATTATTTGATATACTGCATTGTTAGGAAGTTACATCTAAGCAAAATCGTCTGGTATTTAAAGGAAAATTAAAGGAAAATTAAATTTTTAAACAATTTATGATTTATTCATGTTTATCTTCTTCATATAATTTTACATCAATTGAAAGGCATTATTAAAAATTTTACAAGTTTGAATCTTATAATTTCTCATATATATATATATCTCAATATTTATTTTTTAGTAAACAAATAGAATCTAATAATCCATTGTATTGTAAATTAGTATATTATTCAGCTTACAGCATTAGTAACGATGTTTTAATAATTAAAGAACATACGTTTTTGCAAAGCCGATACAAATTTGTGTTCCTCTACAAAAGCAATACTGTAATATATAATAATATAACGTATAATACTATATATAATATTACTATAATGTATAATAATATAACATATAATAATTACAAGCTCAATTTTTTTATTTTCGTCGTTTAATATAATTAAAGCAAATTACATAAATATACTAGGAAATAAAAATAATTGTTAAATGATAAACGCTCCTT